TGCACGGTTCATTTTCTCCTTTGTAATTTGTCACATATTATTCCTCTTTGTTCAGAACTCTTGTAGAACATCCACATTTTGCGCTAGGTATTCAACTTCGTCTGTTAGAATAATTTATTTTACTTACAGAATCATCTTTGTATAAGGAGGAATGTTATTAGGTATGTTTTTCATCCTAAAATGTCTGCAGCATGTTACATAAGATTGAGTTTTAGTCATCCTCTGAGGTCGAAGAAGCCAGCAGGTTAATTCCTCATCCGCTCTTGAATTCAACAGGTGTTTACTGGCACAGACTGCCTCTGAGCACTGTGAACAAAATAGGCAAAAATTCCAGCTGTCTCATGAAGTTTATGTGCCAGTGGGGAGAGAGAGACAACAAAATAAATAAGTAAAGTGAATCTTTTATAAGTGCAGTGCTACAGAATGAAAAATAAAGAAGAGGGGCGCAGAGTGTCTGCGTGAGTTTGGGGGCAGGTTGTAGTCTTAAATAGGGCTTGCACCTCTCTGAAAAGGTGACAGTTTCTCAAAGAAGGTGAGGTGTGAATCATGTGGTTATCTAGAGAAAGAGCACGCCAGACAGAAGGGCCAAAAAGCTCAGGCGCTCCAACAAGGGAATGTTTTCCTACTTATCATTTTGGAGAAAGGGCAAGGAGAAATGGGGTTCCTGGGGCAGAGGGTACAGGGGGAGACAAAAAGTAGAAGAGGTAATCGGAGGGGCAAGGATCACCTAGGGCCTTGGGCCTTACGGGTTGTTGAGGTGATATCACTCACCTTTCACCCTAGGTTAGCTGGGAAGCTAGTGGGGGTTCTAGTGGAGAGTAATCTATTTATAAGGGTTACAGTGGCTGCCATGCTGAGAATAGACTACAGGGGGACAAGAAGGGAGCAGAGACATCAGTTAAGGGGGCTATTCAAATAACTTTGGGGCAGATGATAGTATCTTGGACCAGAGTGGTGACAGTGGTGATAGATGGATTCTCCCTCCTTCCCCACCCCCCTGGAGATAGAAATAATATTTGCAGACAGATGAGGTGATGCATACGAAAAAGAGCGAGTCAAAAACAACTCACAGGTTTCAGCCTAAATGACTGCAAATACTGAGTTGTCACAAATTGAAATGAAGTCCAGTGAGGGAGGGGCATGTTTGCTGGGCAGGATCTGGAGTTCGTCACATGTAAGAGATGCTCATATTAAAGTGGAGGTTTCTACTAGGAAATTAGATGTAAACCAGAGCCAAGGGGAAAGATCAGGGCAGGTATTAAAAACTTAGAACTTTAAATGAGCAAAATGTCATTGTTCTACCCATTCTAGAATAACTTTCTAGCAAATGTAGTTCCTTAGGAACTATTTAGTGTCAAAACAAACCATCCTATACTATTGGAAAACTACAGGGATAATACAGATGAACTAGCCCATATGTAACAAAGCAAATCAGCAAAACACAATACTTACGGGAGACTTACCTATTTATTAATTCTACAAATACTATATTTAGGGAGTGACATCTAAACACTGTGCAGTAAGAATCCAAAGACATAAAACGTGCCTTGCCAGCCCTGAAAACACTTTAGTCTGGTTGAGGTGATTGTCAACAGGCCCTGAGGGCACACTGGGAGGAATGGGGGTGGAGAGGGCTCCGTAGATGCCTGTGGAAGGAAGCTGCAGGACTTCATGAAGACACACTTGTCATTGACCCTTCCCTCACAGCTTCAGATTAGCGGGAAAGATCAAACATACACAAAGTCAAATAAAGCTGACAGGTGTGAATAACCCTTCACCACCATAAAAACAATATTAAGAGGCGGTGTATGAACTCTTGTCAAATGCTAATATTTGCCTTAGGAGTTCAAAAGGGGAAGAAGGCTTTCCAGGCTGCGGTAGCAGGCTTTACTTGGGCAGTACTTGAACTTACAACAAAGGAAGGAAACAGGGTTGAGTGTCTTAAAGACAAGTGATGGAGCTTCCTCTTTATTCTAAGAGTGATGAGGTGGCTGTGAAGGGCCATAAGTAAGAGAGATGACAGGGTAAGTTTTGAGTTTTGAAAACATTGCTTTGGCTGCAACATGGTGAACAGGTGGCTGGAGTGGATTCTGGGAGACATGATGGGGACTTCCTTCCTTGCTGTGAGGTTTTTTGTGAGAATGAGACATTCAAGTTGGATATGTAGAGCTGGATCTTGGGTAAGAGGACTTGGTTTGGGATTTGGGGGTGTTTGGGAGGTAAAAATGTAGCCCTAAGAGTGGATAAGACCTCAAAGGGAAAAAGTGTGAAGAGAAAAAACAAAAGGAGAAGGCTAAGAATTTACCATTATTTAAGCTCCCATTTCAAGAAGCCAACAGCAACAACAACCAACAGAAAAGGGGCCAGAGAGATAGGAGAACAAGATATCACAGGGCATAAGAGGAAATAGGCATAAATGTGCAGAAAGATCTAGGTTGGATAAAGACACTCTGCATTTGTTTTCCTTCCCATAAACTTTTATTAAATTATCTTGCATGATAAAGGAACTCAAGTACAGTGGACTACCAAAGCACGATTAAACACTAGTCGAGAATCTAGCAGCCTGGCTCCCCTTGTGTACAGGGAGGTGATAATAACTAGGCCATCCCTCTAAGAGCTTAGACCAGGAAAGGACCTTACAAAGTACCCATTTCCAACCATTTTATTTTATAAATGAGGGCAGTTAGGCTTCTAGAGAAGTGCACCCCTAAGTTCACACACGTATTTAATAGTAGAACTGGCGCCAGAAAAAGATCTTTTGAGTTTTTATTTAGACTTCTCTTTTCATCACTGTCTCTGACTCTAAATAATATTTTCTTCATACTAAGAGTACAGATTTAGTGAACATAGTTTACTGAATTTTAATTGTGTGTTTTTTTAATGAGGAAATATTTCAACTTATTAACTGTCTATGGTAAGAAATGTTACCTTCAGGCAGACCCCAGGTTATGAATGAGATGGGTTCTGTAGGTTTTTTCTAAAGTTGAATTTGTATGTAAATTGGAACAGGTACATTTTCCTATTACCTGTAATAGCCCCTGTTCATAAATGTGAGTCATACATCATTCAGATGTTTGTAAGTCAGAGACTGCCTGTATTTATAATCCAAATCTATTTGGGAGAATGTGCAGTTCTAATTAAGCTCTCCTGAGGCCACTTTATTCACTCAAACATTTTCTATCTTTCAAGACAAAGTGCAAATTCAACTCCTCATGAAGCTCCTCTGAACACCCTAGGAATTGATCAGTGTTTCTTCTGGGTTCCCACAGAGTCCACGTTTTGCAAACTGTGGACTGAAACTTATTTAGTGGGTGGTGAAATCAATTTAGCAGGTCCTACGGAGAAAGAGAAACCAAATATGCTGGAGAACATCACACGTAGAGATGGGGACAATTACTCCGTGAGACGTTTACTTCAGTTAAGAGTGGGCATATACATTCTAGATGCAATGTAAAAGGTAGAGAAACACAGGTTTGCAGGATTACAGGGTAAAATACATCTTAACATGGAATGATCAGCTGTAAGGCCTTGTAGCTCTTTGTGGGTTGAGACCATCTTCATTTTTGTATGCCTCATGCCCAATATACACCGGGTGGGTATGCAGATGTTGGCTGGAATTATTAGGAAGATTGAGAAGGAAGTGGAAGAATGAAAAGCAGGTAGTTTGGGGGAGGAAATGAGTGCTTGAATTAAGTGTAATCTTTTTAGTTTCCTTTACCTTGAATGTTAATAGTGATTTTTTCCCAATCTAGTATTATTTCGACCAAGAACCTGTGTTTGGTATCTGTGCTGTGGGGTCACCTTCAATGTCCCGTGTGATGTGGTATAAAAAACACTTCCTGCTAATGTTGCAGCTGTCACTCAAGGATCTTAAATTGCTTTACAAGCAGGATCTGGTGACGAGTGCCTGGCTCCACTTGGCGGGTGCCAGTTAAGAACCAGTGACTGGCTGAAATCCTTGGCTCCGGGATGACGGCTCCCTCACTCCTCCCCTCCCACACTCTCTCTGCCCATCCCTTCTGCCTTGGAGGGAGGACCCCTCAACCCTGCCTCTTTGTGAGCTTGGATGACTGGTAAACAGAGTTTGCAAAGATTCCAGTCAGCTTGAAGATTTGCTCTGTCTTTGGGAGTGGCTACAGTGTGTAGGGAGGAGTGCTTGAAAATGTGCTCTGTCTTTGGGGGTAGCTACAGTGTGTAGGGAGGAGTGCTTGAAAATTTACTCTGTCTTTGGGGTTAGCTACAGTGTGTAGGGAGGCAGCAAGGGCTGTGAATTTGCTTCAGGGGTTGAAAAGGGGAAAGAAAAACTGCAAAGGAACAGATTTGAGGGGAGCTCTGGATCATCAAAGGAACTCGCTAGCTTTTTAAGATGTGCACCTGATTGAAGGGGATGTTTGACATGTGGTCCCCATTTCCTGGGCCATTTCGTGCCTGCTCCACAGAAACCTTTCTGCTTCTGGCCACACTCCTTTGGGTTTTATTGTCCAAATCAGCCACCAGCAATTCAGGTGCCCCCTAATTCCTTCTCTTCCTTGCAGCCCTACTGCCACCTTGAATTGCTTCCCTTCACCTTTTCCTGGAAGCTTCTGGGGGTCAGCCCCCTTTTTTCCAAGAAGCTGTTAACTGCCTGCAGTTGGGCCTGGGAGACTCTAGGAGGGTGACAGCAGAGTCCTGGCTTGGAGTCGGGTTACACCACTTGTGTCTGAGTTCACGCAGCGTGTTCCTCTGTCGGGGATTCCGCAAATATCTCCCTGTGGTAAAAAAGGAAAGCGCGCTGCGCTCCAGCACCCAGAACAGCCAGCCCAGCCCAGAGTCCCGCAGAGAGCGCCCGCAGTCCCCGGGGCCATGTCACCGTAGCCCAGCTCGCGGGTCCCAGCCTCGGCAGCGTCCCAGCAGGCTCACTTCATGCGGCGGCGCAGCTGCTCCTAGGGCGAGGGGCGATCGGGCATGCTCCTCCCCATGGGTCGCCCACCATGTCTAATGGGTATCGCACTCTGTCCCAGCACCTCAATGACCTGAAGAAGGAGAACTTCAGCCTCAAGCTGCGCATCTACTTCCTGGAGGAGCGCATGCAGCAGAAGTACGAGGCCAGCCGGGAGGATGTCTACAGGCGGGTGAGCGCGGGGCCGGGGCCGGGCCGGGAGGACGTCCACAGGGGGTGAGCGTGGGGCTGGCGCAGGGGCCAGGGAGGACGTCTGCAGAGGGTGAGCGCGGGGCCGGGCAGGGCCGCGAAGATGTCTGCAGGGGCTGAGTGTGGCGCTGGGGCAGGGGCCGGGGAAGCCCTCTACATGGGGTGAAGGGGGCTGGGGCAGGGCCGGGAGGATGTCTACAGCGGTGAGTGCGGACCGCTGTGGGACAGGGGGTGAGTGTGGCACTGGGGCAGGGCCGGGAGGACGTCTACAGCGGGAGTGCGGACCGCCCTGGGGCAGGGCCGGGCAGGTTGGCCCACCTGTGGAGGTTCCCGGGTTTCCCTAGCTGGTGCTGTGCTAGTCACCCAGAGGGCAGATTCCATCTAAGTCTGGTCACCATAAGGCCGTGTGACCTTGGACAAGCACATGGCACCTCTCTTTTGCCGGGTTTCTACTTTCCTGATCAGTAAAGGGAGGGGCTGGACGACCTCAGAGGCTCTCCAGCGCTGGTGTGGAACTGCGCAGAGCAAGCACCTTGGCCGCTGGTTTAAAGCGCAGATTCCACGCCTCACCCTAGGGATTCAGATTTGCTAAACGGACGGGGCAGCTTGGAAGTTGGCGTTTTTAAACAAGAGCCCTGGAGGTGACCATGAGGCAGATGGTTTCTAGGCTACACAGTCTGCTGAAGAAGCTTCTAGTTCTGGCTCATTGGGGCAGAGGATGATGCTATGGACGAGAGTGCTGAGACTGAAGGCATTTCTGTCCCTTGAGAAATTCATGTTCGTTTTTAAAGATGACCATGGAGACAGGCTGTTGCCCTGGGTAGAGTGCTGTGGCGTCACAGGTCACAGCAACCTCCAACTCTTGGTCTCAAGCTATTCTCTTGTCTCAGCCTCCCAAGTAGCTGGGACTACAGGTGCCCGCCACAACACCCAGCCATTTTTTGGTTGTAGCCGTCATTGTTGTTTGGTGGGCTCGGGCTGGATTTGAACCTGCTAGCTCTAGTGTACTGGCGCCCTAGCCGCTTGAGCTATAGGCGTGGAGCCTAGACAAACCTTTAAGGCAGAATTTTAGGCACTTTTAGTCTTAGGAATATTCACCTTAGGACAAAGAAGAGGTCCCATGTGGGGCACGAGGGGGAAGGGCAGCTTTCCCACAAGGGAATCATTGATGGGTCAGTGATTGGGGTGGGGAAGAATGAGCAGGGATTGGTGGAGCTGAGGGTGAGATGAGACAGCATCTTGGTAGGAGGTGTTGTCAGCAACACCTGTGGACTACAAGGACTAAACTTCCTTACTGGCGGACAATATTGATTTCCTCAGCCCTATTAGTGACTAGACAAGCAGGACCCAGTGTGACCCAAGTTATCTGGTGCTGGTTGCCTCTGACCTTAATTAGATATTCTGAATCTTCAGTTGTTTACACCAGAGGACTACCCGAATATCATTTTCTATTTGTGCTGCCCTCTTTTGTCAGAAGGAAGGTTGGGAAGCATTAGTGGCTTCTAGACAGCATCTGGGATCAGGGGAATAGCTGGTGTCTATGCGACCCAAATAATTATTTGGTAAATTTGACACCTAAATCTGAGGGACTTAAGCCTATTTCCTGTCTCTCCTAAGTGTCCATGTTTTAACTGGAATCTTCTAGAAACTGGTCCAGACTCACATTTTCTCTTTGAAGGGTTTGTGTAATGAGTGTGCCTCATTGGAGCTGGTGGAGGTGAAGGAGGATCCTGCCTAAGAGAGCTGGAGGGGGAGGCTGAGCGAGAGCATTCACCTGGGGGGGGGGCAGGAACAGCGAGTGGATCTGCCCCCTGTGCAGAGGGAGGAAACTTTGCTTATGAATTGTCTTCAAAGTAAAGCTGAGGGAAGGGACAGTTTCTTAGCTAATTTGAAGGAAAGTTGTTTTTTTTTTTTTTTTAAACTTCAATTGAATGGCTGCCTGAGCCATTTGATCTTACTCTCTACTCTGTAATGGCCAAGGAGACGGGTGTGAGAGGACACCATTTCTCTCCTATGGAAGTGTGATTAATGAGATTATGGGAGGTGCACAGGGTGTGGAAGGAGTGGGTCACAGCATATTGTCACATGTACAGTTGACACCCCTTTTGCTAGACCCTATTATTGCCATGGGTCTCACATACAGGAAGGAGATATGGCCCTGCTTCTACCTGGTCTTACGTGTGAGGTGAGTAGTCAGCTACTACAGCATATGATTTGAAGGGTCCCAAGCTACTGTGTTCCCTCCTTTCCCATCTCATCAAACCTTTGTTCAATCTGCCTATCATATTCTTCTTCTCATTTGGGTATAATTATTTGAAAACCCTAAAGGCTTAGGTTGAAATGCTGCTATTGTTTGGGAAGTAGAACACAAACCCTTTATTAATCATTTGCATCGTAGTTGTAATTAGTGCATCATACTCCTTTGTGGTGAGGGGTTGATAGAAACAGGACATTTCTATTTTGCTGGAAGGATGAAGAGATTGGAAACCACTGCACTAGAAACCGCCAACAAGCTGGGGAGCTAGGCAAGTTACTTAACCTCTGAGCTTGCTGCAGCCTCTGTAGAACTAGCATTAATAATAATGCCAGATGCCAGGAGTGGTGGCTCACACCTGTAATCCTAGCATTCTGGGAGACCCTGGGTGGATTGCTTGAGATCAGGAGATCATGATCAGCCTAAGCAAGAAAAGAGACCTTGTTTTTACTAAAAATAGAAAATTAGCCAAGTGTTGTGGTGGGCACCCGTAGTCCCAGCTAACTGGGAAGCTGAGGCAGAAGGATCACTTGGACCTAGGAGTTTGACATTACTGTGAGCTAGGCTGAGGCCAGGGCACTTTAGCCTGGATGACAAAATAAGGCTTTGTCTCCAAAAAAAAAAAAAAAAAAAAGTATAATGCCACATGCACTGAGAATTATTTGCTGTACAAATAAGTATCAGCCATGAAGATGAAATAAGACTTATATCAAAGTACTTTGTTCACTTAATAGCATCATGCTTATGTGAAAAGGTATTACTTATATTCCTATTAGGACTAATAGTTATTATATTTTAAAATGAGGAAGAGTTTTGACTCTTTATAATTTTACCCTCGTATGTTTCAACAAATACGTTTTAAATTCATCTTCGTTATTCATATTTCATAAGGTTAGGAAGATTAGTTAGCAGGGTTGGTAAAGAGTCATTGAGGGTAACATGTCTAATATCACATGGCTTATCAGGTGGTTCGGAGGAGAGAATTTAGAGTCTTGTTCTGTTACCAAACTTAGTAACAGAAGTTTTATTTTTCTGTTACTAAGAAACAGAATTTTCTTGATTCTCATTTTTCAGACTTTTCTTTAATGTTGGAAGGACTTCTTAAAAATATATATATAGTAAAAACATTAAATCACACCCAAATGAGTTACAACCTACAATAATATGAATGTTGTATACATGTTATTTTTTAAAAAAGAAAACCAATGCTTGCAAAACATCTAATAGAAATCTATTGTGAATAGTAATTATTTCATTCTTTTATATTTTGTTGAGATATTTGTACTTAAAAGTGAAAAGTTACTGTCTTAGTGAGATACAGACATTTCACCATGATGACTTCAGGAAAGGGAAATATGGGAAATTTGGAAAGAAGAGGACTGGAGAGAAGGCAGTATCTTATCTTTCTCTTTTCGAGTGGCAAGTTCTCTTAGGTGGTTGATTGAGGGAGAGACTAAAATAGATCCAATCCTTACTTGCAAAGGAAGCTACAAGGATTTTTAATTGTAAGAGCTAGAGAATTATGTAAAAACCTAAGAGTTATCAAATTTAAGTAAATATAAAAGGAGTTGGGGGTTTTCTATTTTAAGCTGTTTAGAGAATTGATAAATAATCTTAAGAATCATAGTAGCCATGGATTAATAAAATAGCATTAAATTATACATAAAAATTAGTTCATCAAGACTGGCTACTTTACTGTTGACTATTTAAGGTACACTACCCTTTAAGCTTCAGTTCTTTTTTTTTACATTTTATTTTTTAAAGGAAGAGTTTGTTTACCCTCAGCACAGGTAAACGGGGACACATACCCTTGTGATTAGGTACTGCTACACCCTCTTGGTAACAAATGTTAATTGTAAGTTCAACTGTTTGGGAAGATAATTTTGGACATATAAAGCAGGCAAAACAGAAATTATTGCAGTACTTATAGCTCCTGATTCTGGACCAAAGTCAAGTGAAAAATCTGCCAGGGGCCCGCAGCTGAGTATGGCTCACTCCTATGGAGACTGGCTCGTTAGCATTTCTGGACTGCAGCTGCTGTGCTAAGTAATTTCTGGGTGGCGACTTGGCTGACTTCCTCCTTGTCAGTTGCCTAATCCTGCATCTTTTCGTATTAGCGAGTGTGCTGCCGCTGAAAACGTGTCTGACCCTGGAATTTGTGAAATCCACTGCTGTGGTAAACACTGGGCTCCAAACAGCACACAAACCCATCAGCATTCACTGTGTTTTGCCCATGAGAAGTACTGACTTGTTCCGCTTGTGTGACTTTATTATTACCCAAGGTTGCTTCAAAAAGGATTTTAAGGTTGCAGCCTGAGAATGGAACTTAAAATCTGACAGGGACAGATCCAATAGCAAAAGGGTCAGAAAAACAAAGTTGTCATCCTGGACGATAAAGTTGATGAAATGATATAACTGAATATTGATTTTGGAAGGTTCACACCTTTACCTAGGAGTTGATAGACTTATATTCCATTGTTTTATGACCCTTGAACTGTCTGACTTCTTTGAGATCAAATCTATCTTAGGTTTTCTCATCTTTGAGGTTGGATGGTACTTCTGAGCACTCATAAAGCTTTATACATAGCATACTTCTATAGCTATGGAAAACAGCCAACTGATTTTACTTGCCTACCAGATTGTCATTGTTTCTATTATTATGCTATTCTGGGGCTTATAGTTAAGAGCTATAAATTAGATAAACCTGGGATGGAATCTTGGTTCCACCA